CATTCTGCATCCCATTTCTGCCTCACGATCTCTATAACACGATTCTCCTCTTTTTTAGACTCAGGATGATGAGCAATACCTCTAGGGGAATTCTTATTATTGTTTAAGGTTACTGATTCAATGTTTTACTAGCTTCTAAAGCTGTGTCATAGAGTAGTGCAATAAGTAAACGAGCTGTTTCGACGATAGTTACAATGGAAGAATTCAGAATGACCGTCAAATACACATTGGACGTTTCAACGTCACGACCATGGACGTTCTTCAAATTGTTGTTGCGGATGCGAGGCAGTATTTGGAAAACAATTGGTTTGGAGTTAACCGTATGGCTGGGCTTGTATTTAGTTGTATCGGTTATTTATCGAAACGCCCTCAACGCTGACCAGAAGCGGTATTCAATTTATGCAGTTTTTTGCGCTCGTTCAGCCGAACAAACGCTTCGTTCAGTACTTTCACAGTTTAAAAATTCAACAAATGTCAGTTATTTTGGTACGAAAACGATAAGATGTGACGAAACTAAATGAATGCATGCAATTAAATCATGCGAGAGTGAAATATAGATAACTGAAGGATGACTACGTAAGGCGACTAAATGTGAAACGAGCATTGATATATATCAATTGCGTTATCGTGATTGTATAAGTCTGAGTGCATTTTTCAAATCACTCTCAAATGATCCAGCAATAAGGGTTTTGTAAGATGATTACGCGGAGAGTTTAACGTCAATGATTTGATGAGTAGACAATATGTACTCTGTGAACACAAGCTTACAGTATTCGAACTGGGCTATTGCAGAGTGTTCGAAAGAATTGTGGATTTCGCTGATAGCAAACTTCATTATATACCACTCGACTTTATGCTTGGATTTTTTGTGACGTCGGTGTTGAATCGGTGGAATAGATTCTTCCTGAGCATTGGTTATATTGATAAGTGAGTTGATGATTTTTTTAGAGGCCATTCCGCGCTTCCAACTATCGCTTCGGCGATTTTCACGTATGGCAGCGATTAGTACATTTGAGCGCATTAAAATTCAGCTATCTAAGGGCACGAATGGGCTAAATTTATTGTTGCGATAATTCAATGGATTAATGAGGATTTATGGATTTAAATTTATGAAATCATTTTACAAAGTCGTTCAATTGAGGAAATATGACCGACATATGTATATATCGTGAGAGAAGTTCATAATTACCAGTTAAAAATTTGCCAGTCTGTTCAAATTCAGTGAGTTTCAGTATTGCACTGATGGTGGCTGCATATGTACGTGGTGCAGATGAGAGAACACGAAAATTGCGACGAAACATCGTTCGGTATTGTGTGCTGTCACAAGCGCTTGTCTTCAGGGACATCAGCATGCGTGTACGGCGTCGATTTCCGGAACTGGATAACGTTGTTGCCGCAGGTTATTCAATAGAGATTCAACTTCTAATGTTCAGACATCCTCTATCGCATTTCGATTTTCATGTTTAATGTTCTTCACCCTAAATCTTGACGGAGTATTTTGGTTCCAATCATACTGAGTTCTGCTCCCGTTGTTATCGCGGCGAGAAAAATTTCTTGTGATCAGTTTCGAATTGATGCTTCCAATAACAGGATTTATGATGGAACATGAGAAGAAGAAATTCGAAGATATCCAGTATCGCTATGCGAAGTATTGGATGCCGTTTCAGTGGGCACTCGCACTCTGTCATGAAGCACGTCAGCAACACAAAATCGCTAGTGATATACTTCTGCAGAAAGTGGGTGAGGTAAGAGTGAAAGTGTCTCGTGAGTGAACTCAAATTTGCGAAAATGGCCAAATATTCTGAACGTTTTCGATAATTCCTCTATTTGCGGTTGTGCGCTCTCACTCGATTACTCAGCTGTGATGGTGTTGCTCGTGTTTGACAGCGTTACTCAAGTTTGTTGAGAAGTTGCAGGAAATAAAGGAATTTCGAACGCATATGGCAGTGTTGTGTAATTTCGACTGGGTGCCTTTACCGATCGCATATCCTCAGTTGATCGTACTCGCGGTTCACATCTACTTCGCAATTTGCATTATAGCTCGGCAACACATTATCTCGGATGATGCTCCGAATAAAACAAAAGTATGAATCATGATCCAACTCATCGATCATTGATCAGTTGTGACTCTGAGCTTATGCTGCCAATTGATTTTGTCGGGCAAATTTGTACATTTAACGAAACTAGAGTCGCCTGTCCTATGGTGACAGCAATCGAACCAGAACTTTTGCATCATACTTTAAGGCAAGATTGAGAACAACCCAAGCAATGTGGTGCAGATAGTTTTCCGTTAGGAAACGAGTTGGGCAGTTCTTAATGCAAAAATGGCATTACAGTTCGACGCGGTGTTTCCTGTGATGACAGTTCTTCAATTTATCTTTTATATGGGATGGTTGAAAGTGGCGGAAGTGATTCTGAACCCTTTCGGAGAGGATGACGACGATTTCGAGTGTAATTTTCTTCTCGACAAAAATCTTTCTGTAAGAATTACTTACACATCAATGTCTTTCACTGAATTCAGTTTTATTTGAAAGCTTTGCTTTTTTGCTCCATTTCCGCTGAAAAATCTCAACAAATCCCAAAAATTATTGACGTCTCGGTCATTAGATTGACTTTCGGTTCACATTACTTGAGATTGTCAAGAAATTTGTACAATACTCTTTTTTTATGATTTCATAATTTTCAAGTAGTTGAATGACATTCCTTTCATGAGGCATACCTCAGATCGGATTGACCGTCGTTGACGAGGGCTATGGTCGTACTCCACAGGTGATGAAAGATATGTTTTGGGATGACAAGATTGAGCCGCTCTACTCACCCGAAGCAGCGCAAATGGAACGACGTATGAGCTGCATGACAAGTGGACTGACCGGATCTGTAGCGGACGTCGTGTGAATAATTCTGCTTATTTCAGCTTTTGCAATCCAGAAACTGTATTTTGTAAAGTTTGTGCGACTGTTTCAACCTAATTGTCGCGACTAGCGCGAAAAGCTAGCATTAATGATGATAGTACTAAAAGAGATAGTACTTGAATCAAATATGAAACATCGTTCAATGGGCCGATAGTGTACTGGTGTGCACGCTGGGCATTGAGGATCCGATCTGTTCAGAGGGCGTGAGTTCGATTCCGCGTCGGTCCAAAATCTTTGATCTCTTTGAGGTTTGATCTCAAAGAGATAAACACACAAGAATATCTCAATTCAAGAGATATTCAAGAAAGGGCTTAGTTTCGACACTAATTGTTGCACAGTGCGTTAACATTAGAGTAGGGAAATTCATTGAGATCGACTATTCTGTGTTATGCACTATACATGTTCTACTTAACTTATCAGTTAAATGAGTCTAACAGAAATCAAACGAATTGGTTTAGATAGCGCAATTGAGCAAATTCAACTTGCAGCATTCCGTCGACTGAAAAGGAAGTGAAGATGATGCCGCTCGCAGACATGCCTCCACCAAGACGGCAATCGGTCGTTGCTAATCTTTTTGCACGAAGGCAAACCGTTGCTAATGTACAAGGCATTCCGACGTTTCCGAGGTATTATTTAAATATTCTGATTTCAGTTTTTTCATGACCACTTGATGGTTCATTATCCACAACTAGAATTGATCAGAACTGACCTCACTGATTCATTAGGGCTCTGGAATTGCACGCTATGTGAAAATGACATTTATAATGTCCTTTGTTATCATTATTACCTAGATCATAGAGAATAAATTAAAGATTACGTATGAAGCTGTATCACAAACTCTTTGAATGCTCACTCCAATGCTTTTATTTTTTCCAACTAGATGTCACGGCACATAAGACGGACATCAGAAAATGTTGTTGCTGAGAACTGCTATGTTGTCAAGAAATGTTAAGGGTTTGAGTCTCTTGAACGTGACGACATATGTGGTGCTTATGGTTAACATTAGTAGGATCTTGAAAACGAGATGGAAATACCAAATGAAGTGGGTCTTAAGAAGTTGAAAGAGAACGTGATTTTCCTCTCATTTTTCGTTCGCTTGATTTCACCATCGATTGTATTCCCACTCCAATGATCATTCGTGTGCTTGCAGATCAAGAGCGATGAGTACGGCTGCTGCGCTTTCCACGGTTCCTGCCGTATTTAGTGTCGAGGCTGACTTCCAAAAGAGTAAATCAGTGGATGCTCAAATTGAAGAAGAAAAATCACAAAATCCAGTGCTCCGAAAGCTTCGCCGATTCAGTTTCTTGCCAACTCGTGAACCGGCCAGCGACATGACTAGGCGGAGTAGCGTATCACCGCAACAATTTGCGGCTGGTAGTGTGCACATTAATCGCTTATTCATATTCTCTTCACTTACTGCCTTTCGCTTTTGATTCACGTTCATCAACTAAAATAACGACTAACAAACTTTCATAAATTAGGCACTGCGCCATTCAGTTGTCATTCACTCATTGAGTGAGCGATATCTTTGAGTGAGGATTATAATCATATTTCAGA